TTGGAACACCCACAGTGGCAAAATTTTGTAAGCAATGAGCTATAACATCTTTAGTTTTTTCTCTGGCATGAAGGGAGCCCATCAAAAATCTGGAAGAAGTATCAACTGTAACATGCAAATATTTTAATTTTCCAAATTCTGGCAAGTGTGTGACGTCCATCTGCCAAATATGGTAGGGTATCAGTCCTCTAGGATTGACTCCAAGATTAACTTGTGGTAAAAATGTCACACAATTTTGACATTGTTTTATTATGTTATAGGTAGACACAGTACCTTTATTTTTTATTGTTATGTGATGCTGAGGATTAAACCCAGTGCCTCATGCATGCTAGGTGTTGTTCTACCTCTAAGCCACAATCTCAGCCCCTGCTTTACCTTCTTAAGTAAGCATATTTCCATTGGACTTTTACCTTCTCCCTCTACCCCATTTGAGGATCTGACAATTCATATATTAAGAAGATATTGTAGAATTTCTGTTTTTTGAACTGGCTACACATTGGGTTATAAGAACAAATAAATTGTAGTGACTTTCTGACTCATCTGCTTCTGCTTCTAAGTTGTTGTTTTTTTCTGTTCAGTGACTTTTGCATTGAATCTTTGTTTTGTATTTGTGTTTTCTCCTAATTCAATTTCATGTTTTACTCTTCTGTTAAGTTTCTTTAAATTGTTTTTTCTTGCCCTGACATTTGCATTCTTTCACATTTAGAACCTACTGCATTTTCCATTTCCCTCCTGTTGATTTAATCTCACAGATCACTTTTTTTTTGGTTTTTGTTTTAAATTAAACTTTTATGCTTGCACTTATAGCATTTTTTATAAATAATTGTATTTATGGATATTATGCCATTTGTGAATATGCTTTTACTTATGCTCCAGTTTGTTTTATTATTGAACAAACTCAATGCCTTAATTATTCTTAAAAAGTTTGATAGTATAATCTGAAATTCAGATAGGTAGCATTTATTCATTGGTTTTTAAAACTCTAATTCTAACTTTTACTCCATTAACTTTATCTGTTATGATTTTGTTTTATATAGCTATTTTACATGTCACAGTTTCATCATTCTCTAATATGTTTATTGGTTTTCAGCCTTTCTAAAAAACAAAACTGGGATTTTTAAAAACACCTTTTTCTTTTATGTAGATTACTGTGTTAATTCAGTGTTTCAATAGGCTTTCTCTCCTTCCCTCCATCCCTTCCTTTCTTCCTTCCTCTTACTAAGATTTTGAGACCATTCCTGCTTTAGAAGTTGAGAAACTTGGCATATTATGGAGGGATACTAAGGTACTGACTATCCTAGCTCCTTTAGCTTTCATGTAGACTTATCATAGGACAAAAAGAATGGTTGACATTAGAGAAACCTTAACTCAAATCTTTCTTTCCTTGAGTGTTTTATCAAATTTAATGACTTTATGATTCCCAAATTTCCAGCCCAGATTCCAGCCAAGATATCTGCTAGATATCCTAAAAATGTGTCCAAAACAAAAAAATATCAAACTCCATAGACAATACTGCAGTCCTCATTTTGCACTGTGAGGAAGTACATATTACCTGATTATCACACCAGTAGTGATGCTAAATTTGACTAATATGTTAAAAGTAGTAACTTTAAGAGCTTTGTATTATAAATTTACATTTTCCTTTGTGATTAACAAATGAGGCTAATGTTATTTGTTTAACCCTGTGAGTTTAATACTTTTTAATTAAGTAATTGTTTTTTCAAGTAAAACCTTTTTTGAAGATCCTGTATCTAAAAAGATAGAGCTGTTCCTGCTGCAGCGGAAAATGTTTAGTTTTAGCAGCTTCCAAAGGAACTCTGACAAGCAGTGTGTAACCCACAGAGCCTGTGCAAACTCTTGAGGAAGTGGAGGCTCAGAGAGGATACACAAAGTCTTTCAGCCATCTAGCAACTTAAGATAAAGGCTCAGTGCATATTAGAGCACAATTTGGGGAGCTCTTTCACTTCCTTGCAAAACTGTGGTTGTGGATGATCATTAGAACAACGCTTGTTTTTTTTTTTTTTTTCCTGGCATTCCACCCACTCTTTTTAGTTGTCTGAGTTCTCTGACATTCTATCTGTTCTGCAGATGTGAAGATTTGAAATTACTTCATTTTTAGTGTGTTACAGTCTTTCTTTCTTTTTTCTTTTTTTTTTTTTGTTTTCCTTTTGGAAATTATTCTTCATCCACAAAGAATTCCTGTTTCAGACATTATTCATCTGTGTCTGGAGCACTAAAATCTCTTGAGCTTCTATATCTCCTACCTCTTTCCACCTTTAGAATTCAGAATCCTATCACAGCTGTTGTCAGTTTTAGCATTTGCTTCTTGCTTCCTTTCTGTATCTTACACAGCCTGGTGTACCTTAATAGAGAATTGAATAAATAAATTTAGTATTGTATATAAGTTTGTGTGATAATGGATTTTTATTTTCATGGAAAGAAGTTTGTTCATACTAAATGGGGAAAACAGGAAATAAGCTATAATCTCACTTTTGTTTTAAAGAAATACACAAAAAAACTCATGCCTGTTCATGTGTGTATATATATATATATATGTTTAAACCCAAAAAGGATATTTTTTGTCACATTGACACTACCTCTTTGATCTTTGTTGCTTTCTTTGTCTTTCTGACTTTATTCCAGTATGTCTTACTTCTATAGTCATTACTTCTATCATGATTAAACCTATTTAAAACAAAAACCAGAAATCATTTGTCATGTGCCAAAGTCAGTTCCAGGCTCCTCTCCATATCACTGCCACCTATACCATTCTTTGGGATTTTTCTCTTATCCCATTCAAGCAAATTTTCCCTGACCCTGTGCTTCTGTTTATTTTACCCTAGAATTGCCTACTTGGCTCTGTGAATTCTCTGTTCGCTTGTGCCACAATGAACTCCTCAGGAAAGCAAAGAAGGCCATAAAAATTATGTCCTAAAAGGAACTGTCTTTAAAATGTTATCTCCATCAGGGTTCAGGAGGATTTCAGTAAATAACTATTGAATTATTTTACCTATTCTTTTTTTCTCATTTCTTTTATCCCATAAATTCCTACAAGACAGAAGATGACTTGTTTTCTGCAGTGTGCTGAACATTTTGGTACTTAAGATAAATTAATGAACGAAGTATTTTTAAGAAATATATCCATAGTTTACATAATAAAGATAAAATTAAGATCTCTTTTCAATTTTGGCCAGAATTTGTGCTTACACCAGGGTGTAGGAAGGCACAGAATTTAAAGATAAATTCTGCTCATTGTTTTCTGATCATGAATTAGTCACTTAAGCCAGTTACCCCCTCATGGATTCTCTCTGGAGTCTGCGGAGGCCTTCTACCTGGTTTACTTCACTTTGTCTTGCTTTCCTAAGTCTGTCCTCCACAGTACTACATAAAGTGCTCTACCTACAGTTTAAATCCAACCATGTTTCTCCTCCCTCTCCATTTGAAAAACAGTTCTCTGAAGCAGTTACCTCTGTCCTACCCCTTTAGCTTTGGCTCCTGGAAGCCAGCTTGACACTTAAATAATAAAACCAAACTCCTGGTAAATCCCATGCTACCTTCTATATTGCTCCCTCTGCTCACCCAGCATTTCCCCTTCTTTCCTGTGGTCAACTACTTCTACTGTGCTACAGGACTGGGTTTAGTTGTCCCTCCTCTTGGAACTCTTTCCTCCACCTAAAGATTAGGTATCCTCTTTTTCTCCCCACTCATACTGAGAGCTACATGAGGTAATACTGTAGAATTGGGCTATCTCGAAGAGTACCTAGTCTGAGGTAGTACTCAAATGTTTATTAAACTGTGCTTAAAGTATACATGTTCTTCTAAACTGTCCAAGGGATTTTTTCCCCATAGAGAATGCTATCTGATTTTTATATGATCTCCAAATTAAGAAAAATACTTAGAAAAGGAAAATGTGTGATTTAAAATAATATCAGCTAGACAGAGACAACTATTGTGATGTTTTGGAATATATAATAGAAATTTTTTGTGTGCACACACATGCACTAGGCATTGAACTCGAGTTCTCACAAAAGCTACACAAGTGCTTTACCATTGAGCTGCACCCTTAGCCTGAGAATTTTTTTTAATTACAAAACTATATAAGTTTAACCACAAATTTTTATTTTGGAGTCAGTTCTCAGGGAAATCCATAGTTTTGCAATTAAATATGAATAGCCAGTTCATTATCTTCCATCAAATAATAAAAAATAGTTTGCTGGCAAAATATAACATTTCCCTAATTGAAACCAAGAAAAAAAAACAAGTTTTGTTTTTCTCATGTTGTCTGGACCTCAAAGCCATCTTTCAGCATGTTTTTTTTCCCACCCCGCAGAGGAGAAGGTGAAATCTCGGTGACTGAAGTGACTTGACCAAGTTATCAGACTACCAAAGTAGACAGTACAGAAGCTGAAGCTGGACCAGGAGCTCCTTACTGCCCACCTGATGCTTTTCCCTTAACCACACTTTATTCCTCTACGGTAAGAAAGATAAAAGTAAGTTTTAAAGCACTTCCTAATTTTATATGCTCAAATTAGGCCTGCTCTTGGAATATTATTATATTACTTTTAGTAATATTATTATATTACTAAATCTAAAGTGTTAATTTTTCTTTCATTTTACATACATAGTTTCTTTGAACATCAGAAAATAATCCCTTTTGAGACAAGTTCCCTTTGTCAATTTATTTTCTCAACTATATTTGAAGTAAAAATAAATTGAATATCCCAGGTCTCATCATTTTATCCATCAAGTAGTTCTATGGGTACCTGTTTTGTATTCCTCTTGACTCTTAGAAGCAATTTCCATATTGAGTCATCCATGAATGATTGCCTATGTTTTCCAGGCAAAGCAATAGTTTTATTATTTTTAAATGACTCATTACTTCTGAATCATCACACCTTCTGTACCCTGTTAAATAAAAAATTTTAAAGACACTTCTAAAATTTCTTCTGCTCTCAGCTTTTAAATGACCCACTAACTAACATGGATATTCAATCAGTGCTCTCTTGTATCTACAGTTCATGTTGATCATTTCTTCTTGAACTCTTTCATCAGCTGAGATAAAACAATGGAATTTCTTTACTTCATACTGCCTGCTCCAGGTGTTTCCTGAAATGGAACAAATAAATAGCAACATAAAAATATTTGTAACACCTTTCTGTACTTTCCATCATTACATTTGTATTGTGTAAAGTTTTATTAACTTCCCAAGTTTCTTTATGAAATTAGGAAGAAACACCCATAAAAGCAAAATAAGCTCTGATGCTTGTTAAACAAACAAACTTCTCCGAATTCAAAATCCAACAAGTTGGAAGAAGGAAACACTTTCCTGCCTTGAATTCAGTGACATATTTTGCTGGTTCTCCACCTGTCTTTTGAATATTCATTTTGTCTCCCTTCTTTTATCCTTCTCCATGCCTTATGTATGCCAGCCTTCCTCAGAATTTTGTACTTAACTTTTTCACATACAGTGCATGCTAAGTCTCATCTATTCTTCTGGCTTTAAAACCCTTATCTTTGGTACTTACTCCCAAATCTTTTTCTTCAACTCTCTCTTGCTGCCAAGTATATCCAGCTGAATGAGGAGTGTCTTCTGAGTATGTCACTGAAACATGAAAATAAAGCTGAATTCATTTTTCCTCTACCCTTGACCCTCCAGCCAGCCTTAGCTCTACATCTTCATAGAGATCATCTTCACATCTTCCCTTCAACTTATTTTTAATTTTTAAAATTTGTAATATTATTTTCATGTTTAAAGAATTATTATAAAAGGCTTTTTAAAAATTACCATCATTACATTTGTATTGTGTAAAGTTTTATTAACCAGTTTCCATTCCCAAGTAGGCATGCTCCTAAAAAACTGTCAAATTTTTCTTCACTATTTCTTCTTCTGATTATCTCCAAATTTCTAAATTCATACTTATTGCTAATTCATCATTCATTAATTTTAAACATTATGAATTTTGGCTCTCAGCATGTTTTACCACATTGACAAAATAAAGGATAAAAATTATATGATCATTTCATTAGATGCACACAAAATATTTGATAGAATTAAAAACACATAAAGTTTTATAAGATTCAACAAACTAGAAATAGAAGGGAGTTTTCTCAGCCTGATAATGGGCATCTACAAAAAATCCTACAGCTGTTATCATACTTAATGGTGAAAGACTGAATACTTCTTCCCTGAAATCAACTACGGGGCAAGGATTTTTGAATTCACTGCTTCTATTCAGCATTATTCTGGAAATCCTAGCCAGTATGGCAGCAAGGCATGGTAAAGGTAAAGCTGTGTCTATTCTCAGACAATACAATTATCTGTATAGAAAATCTCAATGGATTTACACAAAAAAAAAATACAATAAGCAAATTTAGCAAGGTAGAAAGTGATAAGGTTGATCAACTGTATTTCTCTGTACCAGCAAAGAACAGTATATAAAAAGAAAGTAAAATAATAGTGTCATTTTAATTAGCATAACAAGACATAATCGAGAAAAATTTAATGAAAGTCCTGAAAACATTAAAGAGCATCTAAATAAACAAACAGATATACTATGTTTGTGGACTGGAGACTCGATACTGTTAAGATCTCTATTTTCACCAAATGGAAATTGAGATTGAATGAAATTCCACTTAAAATTCCAGTGGGCTTTGTGAAGATTGCTGATTCCACTGCTTTTGTGGAAGGCAAAGAACCCAGAATATCCAAAACAATTCTGGGGGAAAGAATTGAGAGATATGTTTTATAATTTTCATACTTACTCTAATTCTACAATAATTAAGGCAGAATAGTATCAGTAAATATATAGACAAAATTATAGGGAATTCAGAATTAAGCCCCATATATAGTTAGTTTTCATCAAAGGCTCCAACATAATTTAATAGGGGCAGTAGTCTTTTTTTATTTGTGGTTCTAGAGATCAAACCCAGGGCCTTGTGCATGCTAGGTAAGACCTGTACCTCCAAGCTGCATACCTAGCCCCAGAATAGTCAGTGTTTTGAACAAATGTTGCTAGATGATCTTCAAACTCAACCTCATAGCATACATAAAAATTAATTAAAAGTAGATATAGTTTTAAAAATAAAGCTGAAACTATAAAATTACAATAAAGAAAAAAAAAAGCTCAAAAATCTTTGTGACCAAAGGATAGGCAAAGATCTCAGCATACAAATGTATTAATAATAAAAGAAAACTGGATTAATTAGACGATAAAAATTAATAAGATTAAAATGTATTACTCTTCATGATGGCACACACTTAAAGTACCAGTTACTCAGGAGGCTGAGATGGGAAGATTAATGTATCCAGGACCAGTCTGGAGATATAGTGAGATCCTGTCCAAAAACAAACTAAAAAAACTTCCTACTTTCAAAAGCTATTGTTGAGAAAATGGAAAGAAGCCACAGACTAGGAGATGATATCTATATCTAAAATATAAAACAGAACTCTTAGAATTGAATAATAAACATTAATGTGTTTGTATCCCTGTAGTATGCTGTTTTTAAGTCCTTTGGGTATAGACCCAGGTGAGGGATAGCTGGGTCAAATGGTGGTTCCATTCTCAGTTTTCCAAGAAATCTCCATACTGCTTTCCATATTGGCTGCACCAATTTGCAGTCCCACCAGCAATGTATGAGTGTACCTTTTCCCCCACATCCTCACCAACACTTATTGTTGTTTGTCTTCATAGTAGCTGCCATTCTGACTGGAGTGAGATGAAATCTTAGAGTAGTTTTGATTTGCATTTCTCTAATTGCTAGTGATGATGAACAATTTTTCATACATTTGTTAATTGATTGTATGTCATCTTCTGAGAAGTATCTGTTCAGGTTTTTGGCCTATTTATTGATTGGGTTATTTGTTTTTTTGGTGCTTAGATTTTTGATTTCTTTTTTTTGGGGGGGGACACATTCTCCCCCTTTTTTTTTTAAGAGAGAGAGAGAATTTCAATATTTATTTTTTTTAGTTCTCGGCGGACACAACATCTTTGTTGGTATGTGGTGCTGAGGATCGAACCCGGGCCGCACGCATGCCAGGCGAGCGTGCTACCGCTTGAGCCACATCCCCAGCCCGATTTTTGATTTCTTTATATACCCTGGAGATTAGTGCTCTAATGTGTGAGGGGTACAGATTTGCCTCCAAGATGTAGGCTCTCTATTCATCTCACAGATTGTTTCTTTTGCTGAAAAGAAACTTTTTAGTTTGAATCCATCCCATTTATTGATTCTTGATTTTAATTCTTGTGCCAAAGGAGTCTTATTAAGGAAGTTGTAGCCTAATCTCACATGATGGAGATTAGGGCCTACTTTTTCTTCTCTTAGACACAGAAATATCAAGAGATGAAATGATTGAATTGTGAGAGCTGTAAACCTAATTAGTCAATCCTAGCTGGAATGGACTGACTGAGTTTTAGCTGTAGGCAGGTGGGGTGTGGCTGGAGGAGATAAATCACTGGGGGCAAAGCAGGGGGTGCCCTGAAAGCATTATTCTTCCTGTGGTCCCTTTTTCCTCTCTTTTTGCTTCTGGACCCCACCATGAGCTAGGCAGCTTTTTGTGCTGGGCCCTTCCTCCATGATGTACTGCCTCATTGTGGGCCCAGAACAATGCAAACATTTTCTATGAATTGAAACTTCTGAAGCTATGAGCCCCAAATAAACGTTTCTTCCTCTAAGTAGTTCTTGTTAGGTATACCGATTACAGCTAAAAAAAAAAAAAAAAAAAAAAAAGAATTGAATAATAAAAGACAACCCAAAGGATTTGAATAGACTCTTCACCAAAGAAGATATATATGAATTTCTAATAAGCATATAAAAATGCTCATATCATTGAATCATCAGGGAAATGCAAATTAAAGCCACACTAAGATACCACTTCACACTAAGATGACTAAGATAGCTCTCAAGTGTTGCTAATGAAAATGTAAAATGGTAGAACTACATAAGAATACAGTTTTGCAAATTTTTATAAAGTTAAATGTACACTTATAACAATAATTTCATTGCCAATAACCTAAAAGAAATTAACACATCCACAAAAAGATCTTTACTTGAACATTCATAACAGCTTTAATTTATAATAGCATGAACTAGAACCCAATGTTCATCAGCTGATAGATTAAACATATTTTGATATTTTCATAACTGTGGATTTACTCAGCAATTGATTCATTTAGAATTCAAAAGGAATTTATAATTGATATGTACAGTAACTTGAATGACTTTCAAAACTATTGTGCTAAGTGAGAGAAGCCAAACAGTAAGGTATATATTGTATGATTACATTCATATGAAGGTAGAGTCTGATAAGATTAGTCTATAATGATAGGCATCAGATGAGTGGTTGTTGGATATTTTAGGTGGGGGAATTTGGCAATTAGTTAACATGATTTTTGACAAATCTCATGACAGATCTCAGTATGCTCTTAACTACTCTGTATTTCAATTATGTATCAGTAAAGTTTATTTAAAATAAAAGTGAGGCTCTGAAAAGCTGAAAGGAAGCTGTATGTTTGTAGATACCATACATCAATTAATAGGCTTCACTTAGGGTGATCATATACCTTGAGGAGATTTTTATTTGTCCAGAAAAGGATTCTTTAATCCACAGTGAGGATTAGGAGCTGGAGGTAATAAGCAATTTTGGGGGCAGGGCTGGGGGAGAATGGTGGTGGTGAGAAGCTGGCTAATGAACTCACTGTTTGACATTTAGATTTCTACTCAATTTTCCTTTATCTTCAGTCGTTTACTGCCTTTTGTGTCTGATGCCCCCTGGTATTAGTGCTTTTCTGGTTCAGTTTCTCCCCCCAGCAAATAAATTTACAGTCTTCATCAGGATAAAAGAGTTTTTTCTGATTTGTAGAATGAGTGTAGGAGGTCTAATCAATGTCCCAGTGTTCACTTCTTTACCCCATTTTCTAGGGTGCTTTTCTAGTATCTTTTGATTTGTGGAAGATGAACTGGTTTGCCTGTCATCAGTATCCCACTTTGCAGGTCATTTACCACTCTTCCTTCTGTTTTCTGTCTTCATATATACTAATTTGGGATTTCAGGACTCTCCTAGGTTTTTTTTTTGTTTGTTTGTTTTAATTATTTATACATGACAGTACAATGCATATATGCACTTTGATATATCATACATAAATGGGATATAATTTCTCATTTTTCTGAGTGTACATTGCAGAATTATATTGGTCATGTAGTCACATATATACATACAGTAACAATGTCTGTTTCATTCTATTATCTTTCCTATCCTCACATTCCTTCCCCTCCCCTCCCATCACTTCCCTCTACCTAATCTAAGATAATGCTGTTCTTCCCTAGTGTCCCCCTGCCTTGTGAATTAGCATCTGCATATTAGAGAAAACATTTGGCATTTGGTTTTGTGGGATTGGCTTATTTCGCTTAGCATGATATTCTCCAACTCCATCCATTTACTGGCAAGTGCCATAATTTCACTCTTTAAAGCTGAGTAATATTCCATTGAATATATGTATCACATTTTCTTTATCTATTCATCTATTGAGGAACACCTAGGTTGGTTCCATAGTCTAGCTATTGTGAATTGAGCTGCTATAAACATTGATGTGGATGCGTCATTATAGTATGCTGATTTTAAGTCCTTTGGGTATAAACCAAGGAGTAGGATAGCTGAGTCAAATGTTGGTTCCATTCCCATTTTCTGAGGAATCTCCATATTGCTTTCCATAGTGGTTGCACCAATTTACAGTCCCACCAGCAATGTATGAGTACATTTTTCACCACATCCTTGCCAACATTTATTGTTGCCTGTATTCTTGATGATTGCCATTCTGACAGAAATGAGATGAAATCTAAGAGTAGTTTTGATTTGCCAAGAAGCAGTTGAGATTATATCATGTAGTTAAATTGATTGGTGAAGTAAAGGATAATATAAGGAGTGAAATCAAAGAAAAAATATACAGCGTGAAAAACCACTTCAACAAAGAGTTAGAGATCGTTGAAAAAACCAGAAATCCTCGAAATGAAGGAATCAGTAAACAAATTATAAATTCAATAGGAAACATCACTAAAAGACTAGACCACTTGAAAGACAGAACTTCAGACAATGAAGACAAAATAGAGTTGAACATGTGGAGAAGATGGTAAGAAACCATGAACAGAACATCCAAGAATTATGGGATAACATGAAAAGACCAAATTTAAGAGTTATTGGAATAGATGAATGAGCAGAGATACAAACCAAAAGAATGCACAATCTTTTCAATGATATAATAGCAGAAAATTTCCCAAACCTAAAGAATGGAATGGAAAATCAAATACAAGAGGCTCACAGGACCCCAAATGTACAAAATGACAGCAGACCCACACCAAGGCAAATTATAATGAAAATTACTAACACAGAGAAAAAAAGATAAAATCTTAAAGGCTG